ATTCTATACAATCCTGACCCTCATGAACCTGTGCTTGTCATTTCCCCAGAAAATGCTTTCCTGGGGACACCTTCTTTGGGGGAGCCATAACTCGAACCCCATAAATTCAATCCTCACCAACCTTGGCATGTAGGTAGAGGTGGGTTAGCCGGATATCCCTTGTGAGTTTGGTGTCTCTATCATGCTGAGGGGTGTTCTACCATGTCACAAACCTCACAAATGAAACTGGTTTATTTGTGATGTTTCATGGTTCATGAAGCTGGCATACCATGAACCATACCACATTTTCCCAGTTCATGCCCATCACTACTCAACACCAGTTCTCTAGGTGAAATCCATCTGGTTGTCCTCATGAATTACCCCTGCATTGACCCATGTGGATCTATAAGAACCAGATCATCACTGAGACAGTACCCTAAGACCACAATTGTACCTTTAAAGATTGACTACCTCTTTCAATAGTCTTTCAGTAGTCATGTATGGCTGCGAGAGTTGGACTATAAGGAAGGCCGAGCGCCGAAGAATAGATTCTTTTGAACTATGGTGCTGGAGAAGACTCTTGAGAGTCCCTTGGACTGCAAGAAGATCAAATCAGTCAATCCTAAAAGAAATCAACCCTGACTGTTCCCTGGAAGGCCAGATAATGAAACTGAAGCTCAAATACTTTGGCCACCCAATGAGAAGGGAGCACTCCCTGGAGAAGACCCTGATGCTGGGAAAGATTGAAGGTCAAAGAAGAAGGGGGCGGCAAAGGATGAGATGGTTAGACAGTGTCATAGATGCAACAAACATGAAATCGAGCCAACTTCAGAGGACAGCGGAAGACAGGAGGGCCTGGCGGGAGCTGGTCCATGGGGTCTTGAAGAGTCGGACTCGACTGTGCGACTGAACAACAACAACTGGTTTTGAAGACAATCAAGAGAGCCCTGGTGGATTCGTCTAGTCATAAGAACATAAGAGACGCCAATGTTGGATCAGGCCAATTGCCCATGGTATTACAAGGTGAAAACACTCCGTATATCTGGGGTTAAATGTTTGTTTATGTTACTCACAGGAAGTCACATGTTTCTCATGTAGCCAATGTTCTTTAGATGTAGGAAGCCCCGGAATTTTCTCCCTGATCTAGGGATTTGATTGGGACGAAAGTGTCAAGGTGTATTACCATTTTATGGCTTCTCTTCCCGTTTTTGTTTTGTATTCTGAAGAAGGAGAGCAACCATTCTCTCTTTCAGCTTTGTCTTTGTAGTGTAAGGATGTAGCCGATTATGCTCTGTTGTTATTTTCATCCCAGTTACCCTTCCCATGCTAGAATTTAGTAAAAACTTTATATTTCAATCACACATGGACTCTCAGTCTGATTTATTTTACTCAGGCTCTGCTGGACTATCTTATCTCTGCTAAATACCATTTTTTCAATATCTCACTATCACCCAACACCAACACTCTGTGTCAGGCAGTGGTCCCCCCCCAAGCACCAAGAAGACAGAGCATCCCTTGCCCCAGACGGAGAGTCCCTGTCTATACCTTGTGGCTAAGAGCCCCTGATGGACCTCTGCTCCAAATGCTTATCTAATTCCCTCTTGAAGCCACCCATGCTCGTAGCCACCACCACTTCCAGCCTCCTCTTTCACGTGGCACGGCTGCCCTGGAGGGAGGGCCAGGGAGCAGGGGAGACACAGAGGCCAAGGCCCTCCCCCCTGAAGTGGGAATCCTTATGGATCCGGCTCGAGAACTGGCTGAGAGTGTGGGGTGGAGGCCTTCTCCCTCGGTTCGGCCTGCAGCTCAAGGGATGCTGTGGCCTGGCCTGGGGGTGGGGGGAGAAGAAACCTCTCTCAGCAGGGGGGGGAGCGGGCAGGGTGGCCCCACACGGCCTCACAACCTTCCCACCGTCCTGACCCTGGCAAGCTCCAGGGTTATGTTGGAGGAGGGAGGCTTCCCTCGCTTCCACAGGGCAGGGCACCCAGGCTACAGGGGGGGGGATGGGGGCCGTATGACGTCACCTTCAGGGGGAAGAGGCCCAGGAGGATGGGGTGAGGAGGCTGGTGGCAAGGCACTGGGGGGGGCTTCCTTCCAGAGGTTGGTGCCCTCCCTGTGCCTGGCACGATTCTCCTGTGCCCACTGTGCCTTTCAGGTGCCGCGTCTCTCGGCTGCGGAGGAGATGCAGGAAGGCCCTTGAGCCCTGCCCTGGGGGCAACGGTCCGGCCATGACACGGTAAGGCGGGGGGGGGGGGGAGGCTGAGAAGGGAGGGGCCGAGCGGCTGAGAGGGAGGGGCCGGGCGGTGGGAAGACCAGCCGGCCCAGCCTCCGGAAGGAAGCCCCTGCTCAGGATGCACCACTCCTGGAGGGGGGCCAAATGCCCCCCTGGGCCGCTCTCTGTGTTGTTGTTCTCTGCGGGGCCCAGAGGCAGGGTGGGGGGTGGGGGAGCCAGGCCCAGGGCCTGGAAGCACAGAAAACGGCCTTGCGTGGGGCTGGACCCTGCCTCCCTTGGGCAGCTTGGGCCTCCCCTGGAACTCGGGCCCTCCCCAGGCCCCCCTGCACCCGGATTTTTTTCCAGGGAAAATGGGGGGGGGGGGGCGGAGGTCTCTGATGCCTGAGCTACAGCCCCTCTGCAGATGGGGGGGAGGAGGGGGAAGGGGTCTGGCAGCCAGCGGGACGTGGGGCACCGGGAAGCACGCCAAGCTCAGTATCCTCACCCCACTCCTGGGTCTGACGGAACTCGTGGATGACAGAACTCTTGCTCCAGAGCTTCCGAAGCCCCCGGAAAACTGACAGAGAAGCGGAATACTGGGGGCCCCCGGCCCCTTGAAGTTAGAGGGCCCCGGCCCCCTGAGCGATGCTGATGATGGCACCAGGAGCAACCTCCCAGCCGCAGGGTGTGCAAGCCTCAATCCGATTCTCACCGAGAGAGAGAGGCCTTTGGGGTTGAAATTTGGAAGCTGCCTGGTACCTCCTCCAGAGCCAGAGCAGGTGCAGGAGAAGCCGCTGGAGCCCTTTGGGTGCCAGGACTCGGTGTGGGGAAACGGCAGAGGTTGGGAAGGCCTGCCCCCCATGCCCCGAGACCCGAACTTGGGGCTCCTCTGCACAGGGACAGGCGTCCACTCCTCTGCTCAGCCTGCAGTCAGGGAACTCGCTGCCACAAGATGTTGGGGTGGGGGGTCCCTAGCAACAACCAGGAGGAAAGGAGAGTCTTGAGTGGGACCCTGGGGACCAAAGCTTCCTGGGAGCGGCTGTAAAATGTGCTCAGTCTTGGAAGATGCCTGAGGAAGACTCCCCCTTTCACTTTGCCACTGGGCGAATCCTCCTCTAGACAATTAGGGCTGTTGAAGGGGTAAAGGTAAAGGTTCCCTTGCTCGAAAGCCAGTCGAATCCGACTCTAGGGTTGCGGTGCTCATCTCTGTTTCAAAGCTGAAGAGCCAGCGCTGTCCGAAGACATTTCCGTGGTCATGTGGCCGGCATGACTAAACACCGAGGCGCACAGAACGCTGTGACCTTCCCACCAAAGTTGTCCCTATTTATCGACTTGCAATGTCTTGCTTTCGAACTGCTAGGTTGGCAGGAGCTGGAACTAGAGATGGGAGCTCACTGTGTCTTGCGGCACCCGGGTCTCGAACTGCTGAACTACCGACCTTCCACAGCCTGCAGTTCAGCGTCTGAACCACTTGACCACTTGAGCTAAATGCGGGGGGGGGGGGCTTGGTGGCTCAGGGAACACCCATGGCCAGGGGCACTCTACCCCAGTCCAGGGGGGGGGCCTAGAACAGGCCAGGCAGGTGGCTCCCTCGGGGGAGGGGGGCGGAGGCTGCGAAGCCCCTTCCTCCCTTCCTGCCTGCCACTCCCCTCTCCCTGCAGCATCTGCCGCGGGTACCCTCTGCCTGGATGCAGTTCCCATAGCAACCAGCGTCCCCCTCGCCGCCGCCGCCTCCCTC